GGGGGGAGCGAGGGGAGACATAAGAAGCAAAGAACTTTTCATGAAAAATTAGGTGGAACTTGGCGGATGAAATTGAGCCGATTAATTTTCCTTAGCTGCAAATAGTTTATCGTTTTTGTCGAGCACTTAGTGAACAGAAAACTACAAAAGTGTTGTGCATGAAAGTAATAGTTGGAGAAGTTGGGCGATCATTGCCATTTTCACCACGTGACTCAGTCGTTATGCTAGCAGTTAGCAAGACAACATTTCAAGTTTGATACAGTATTCCTTAACAAGCTTTCCAAGTTTTAATTCAGCTCACTGCATTCGTTTCAGTTGTATGTTCAATCACAGACAAGAATATCATGATGCAGAATGACAAGCATTACCGAGTTTTGCAACTTTCATTAGTATATCCTTCCTTTAAGAGTGATCCCAAATGACAGGCCTTACGGTTTCAAGGTTAGATTTATAACTGATGTTATACCCGCAACTGACGAACTGGTTTATCTGTTTGATATGACTAAGGTAATCAGGCCATTTAATGTCAGAGCGTGTGTTAATATGAAGGGTCAGTTTTGCTTGGTGTGTGAACTCGTAATCGAAAACACCAGGATTGACGGTACACATTTGTCACAAGCAAACATTAAACCATTGAAATTCTGGTTTCCCCGGCTTGTGAGGGTTGTCACCACAGCCCAGGGGTGTTCACTCTGCTGGGATCAGTTATGTCTGGCGGGGAAGGCCTTTGATATTTACCGTGCTTAGACCACTAAACAATCGTAAGCATAGATCCCTTAACTTTGCGTCCCGAGAACTGGGATAAACTGTTAAACTATATCTATCCGGAGCGGTCCGGGGGTTAGACAGTCATTAGTCTTTCAGAATTGAGAAACGAAAATCCCCGAACCCCTGATTCGTGCACATATTCCCAGCACACTAATACAATACTCGTTAAAATATTCCTCCACAACGACGCTTTGTTTTCTCTGTTTTCAGTCACTAGCTATCATAAGATAGGAGTTAAAACACAGGGTCGTACTTTGTCAGTCCACGTGCGTGAGGTTCAGTCGTCAGTGACTTCTTTACGCCATCTTGTTCGTCTGCGATAAAAGCGATTTAGGCTCGTTGGTTTTACTTATCTCCAGAATTCTTGGGAGAAACTTCAAATTGCTTGCGTTTCGTGCGATTGATAAGAATCAGTAACACTGCGAACGCACAGTAACATTAAAAAGATCTTGTTAAAGACGGGAAGTAAAACTATGTAGAATCGACATAAGGATTTTACTCCGGCGCGCGTAGAAATCTTTTTACCCCATCAAGGAACGATAATCTTACAGAAACTTGGCAGGTTACAATTCTGTTAATTTTGAAATAGAACTTCCAGTTTTCTATCTACAAGAAGAACTTGTAGGAGTGTTAAGTACAGATCTTTACAGAAATAATGAGAGTTAAGCCGATCAGGAACTCACCCGCGCGGCGGAAAGAAAGTGAATGAAAATATTATTAGTATTTTCCTATCCATAGTATCCTCAATTAACACTTAAGACATATTTTGGACTTCTTATCTCGTAAATAAACCTCACAATAATCATAGGACATCCCAGAGTTGTTGAGTCAACAATGAAAGTCGACATGCCGTATTTCCCGTGGTATTCTCTTTGTTAATTGAGGTTTCTGTAAACGTTTGTAGGTTAGCATATAGCAAAGGATCAGCACCTTCACTTAAACAATATTCTCCGGCCCATCAATACATCCGTCGAGAATATGGTGAACTAAATTTTCTTGTTGAAAGATATTCTTCCTTTCAAGGAACGATCTAAAGCAATTATTCCTAGAAAGCTAGTGCAGCTTGCAGAGGCTAACAAAGGATACCTACATATTTCACAATGCAGACAACGGTGACTTAGTGCATGACTACTGTTCACCCGATTTAGGAAAAGTTTCATACTAAAACAAGGATGGCGAAAATGGCTAGTGAATTGCTTTCGCCCGCTCAACCGTAGCGGTACATCTGCTAAGTACCTTTTCTCGTCGGTAAGGCAACCAAAGGAAGGGGAACAGAGTACGGTCATGTCGATAATATTTGGAAACAAAGTATGCCACTGCAGGGCTAAGAACTGAAGAAAAAAGTGTAAAACGTAATACTTTGCTTCTTTGAAATAGGAAAAGTTGATTTAATACTAATCACGTCTTTCTCTCTCTTCTTCTTTCTCATGGGATCTGATTTTGAACTCCCGAATAAGAAGAATAAAAGCTCACGGTAACAATCTCCCGAAATACCCTTTGGCCCTGGTAAATTATGCGGGTTATCAGCATATCGAGTCCAAGTGGTCTTAGAGGGAATGAATGAAACCTCGATTCAGTAAGTTCAACGACTGGATTTTATTAATCTGCTTGACGCATAATATTTCTATGAACTAAGAAATAAATAATAGGTCTAGTAGGAACGCAAAAAATTTCGAACGTTCATATATAGCTAATCAACACAGGCGAGGAGGACGTGGTTGATAACATATATACACTTGCACATTAACATGCTTTTCAAAAAATGTATTTTCAAATTTTCAAAGAAAATTTGTTGCTTAAAATTAAATTTTAGAGAAACAACAGTAGGTTAAGCAAGATTTCTGAGTTGGTGTAGTCGCACATGAGCCTACTTAAGATCGCAAAGCTGCCTTCTTGAGAGAGTGGGTTTACAACAAAGCTGTGGGTATTTAAATGTGCAAAGTTCGCCGAAATGGCATCTACGAAGCTAAGTGGTGCAAAGTGTAGAAATAATTCATCAAATCTTATATTTTGTCTTGCTTTCGATTAGATGCAACACCCGGGACGCGATGGAAAAACTAACTCTGGTGAAACTTAAAATTATCGATGCTGCGAACTCCCTAAGATTGTGCTTTCATGCGCATCAGCTCTACCACCCCTACCTATATTGAGTTCTCTGACAAAAAGTATAACTTTCAGTATCAAAACGGCCACAGGGAATGTACATGCCTCCATAAAACACGTCTACAAGACTTTGTGTTTCTAAACAGCACTGAGCACTGGTTGATCGGCTTTCCATTTTCAGTGATCACGGCAGCCAATCCAAATTCCAATAGTGGAAGTTTCGTTATCGCTCGAATAAATATGTCAGTTGATTTATATGCTGATTGACGAAGGGCTAACGTTCGGAAACGTCAGCTTCTTAACTCTTTACGGTAGCCAATTTACAATTTCAACTTATTTCATATTATCAAATTACTGTATAAGTGTTATTGCTGGAGAAAAGTAGCTAACAGGACTTTGAAATCATGAGGGTGAATGTATCTATGTGGACGTCACAGTTTTCAAGATGAGCAATATCCTCGAACTATCATACAGTTAGCAGTTAAGATACTAGCGTCAAACTTTGCCATTCCAGTGTGCGTGGTCCAGCTGGGGTCGTCGTCCTCTTCGTGTACTTCTTTGCGCCATCTTGTTCGTCTGTTTTGAAACCATGTTCTAACTTGGGCTTCAGTAAGGCTTATTTCCGTGGCTAGTTTACACCGTCGAGACTTGGAGATGTATTTCTCGTTGATAAACTCTTCTTCAAGTTTCTGGAGCTGTTCTGGCGAGAAAAGAGGCCGTTGTTTCTGTCTCTTGATATGTTTACGAGGTCTTCGTGGGTTTGCATAGTTTGCTGTAAGTAATTCAGTGAATAACATTATAAGCATTGAACTGCAACAGTAAATATTTGGTCTCCAAAAGAAAAGAATAAATTGATTTGGCACCTTATTCAAAAAGTAACAAGGAACTAAGACCAGAAGACCACAGTATGTGCCAGTTACTACAAATAAACATAGGATTTTTCATACTCAAATTTCTGCATTTCTCCAGTTCGTAGAAACGATGCATTCGGAGCTATAAAGTGCCTATTGGACTGAGAAGTCAGAGTTCAGATGTGAGGAGTTGTCTACTTAACGTTTCCTTGCATTTTCTTTGCTCCTCATGACCTTCATGTCTGTTGTGATTTTTTTTTTTTACCAAAAGCCTGACTAGGAACATGAGATGCCATGTAAATGAGATGCCATGGAACATCAGTGCCTGTGTGATAATGAGTGCTTCTCACCCGCTACTAACGTAAATTTCCACACTCTCTTGGTGATGAGATTGAGCGATGTCAATTTCCACCTGTATCACAGGTTACGGTAAAAATTAATATGTTCTTTAATCTAAAAATGTCGATCGATATCACAATAGTTTCAGTGAATCAGTGGAATTGACTGCATCTAGGGAGGATCCCGTTCAATCAGGCAAACCAGTGATTAGCAAGTCAATGTGTGCCAACTCAGCTTCTGAGGTTTCATTGTATTTTAATTAAACTAAGTGGAGATGTTTTCCATTTGTACGTATTATCACTAGTGTGCATGTGAGTGGCGAACACACGAACCCGGCGGAAAAGCTTATAGCTTACTCTTGGACAATAAAAACGGAACATCCGCTAGCGTCCTCCCATCTTCCGTCCACTTGAGCTTAAATTTTACGCTTCTGGAAATCAGTTCGAACTTTCCAAAATATTTCCGAAAGTGATTGATAATTTTAGCCATCGCTAATCATGTTTAGGTAATTCAGTTAGTACCTTTGCGGTCGTTTTCGCAACTGCTTTGTTACATTTAAACAATACTGTTGTGATTACCGATGCAGTCTCTGAGATACAAGTGTCGGTTTTTTTCCTCTTTCAAAAGCTTGCAAACAGTGTCTACAGAAACAATGCCAAAGGGTCAGATCATGGGAAACCGGCTTCTGTAAAATAAGATGAAACTTCTGTTTATGTCTTTTCCTGTTCTGAATCGGAGCAATTAAAAGGTCGGTAAACACCCCTTTTAATTACCCACTGAAAATGTAATGTTTCACGGAGTTCCTCTTCGAGTAAATAAATGTGACACTTCGCCTTTTTTCGAAAAATTATACGGTAGGGGCCTTTTGTCAGCCTTATATTCAAAGACACATTTCTGATTGTTCGCCTCCTTTTGTGTGTATTTTGGGATTCTGACGAAAACACTCTAAAATGTCACGGCCTAGGCTAAAGGTTTGCAAGCTATAGAAATATATATTTCATTGCGAGTATGATGCACTAAGTGGGCAAGCTTTTTTCAGCATCTTTTATAAAGAGAGCATTACCCTAAGAAGTAACCTTTGCTAAATAGAACGTGATCGACAAGAGAGAATACGATTTATAGATGCGTTTGTTTAAACTTAATTCAAGTTCAGAAATTGCATTCTGTGGAGCTGTTTATGAAGTGAAAGTAATGCTCTCCAAGAAGGTGCTATTTATTGTATCACGTTGAGACGGGTCAGTCATACATGATTTATTAGAGTTCCGATGGGAGTCTGCTAAGAAAGAAATGTTGCACCGCTATACTTACGTATTAATTACGGAGTTTGGAGGCTTCGTCATATCTTTAAATTCTTATTTAAATTATAACTAACCTGGAGGGATGCCATGCCTCGAATATCTCGTAGCATAAACCCATGCCGGCCAGACACTGTTTAGGTCGAAGTTACCTTGTGCTACACTCAAACCTGTGCCCTCTTTCACGGGGCGTGTTTTCTTCGCCGAGTTTTCGCTGGCAATAGAAAGGTTAGCGACTCTTTTATGTTCCTTGTCTTCACCTCGTTGGTCGTCGCAGAGACTTAGCAGGTTTTTAATGGAGAAAGGATGATTTAAGACGGATTTGGAAGGGATGACAGGGGAAAAAGCCGAGCCATATTTCACTCTGGAAGACATTGCCTCAACCGATTATGTTCGTAGCCAGCTAACCTTCTTACAAGCAGTCAACTTCTCGGCTGCTTGGCACCAACATAAGTTAGTTTGGAGACTCTAGTCTCGCGCCTTGATAACCGGCTAATTATGACTCCGGAATACTGTAACTTAATTGGCTCGTTGAGACACTGTAAATAGGTTGCGGTCAGGAAGCAGACATCTACACTCCCTTTGAACTCCCGTGCTTTCGTCGGAGAACGCTTTCATCGCTTGTTGGAACAAACTTAAGAGTCATACGGCGCAGTGAAATATAGACTAGATTTGGTGGGAGGGAGCAAAGTGGTATAAGTTATAAGTAGTGGGATTAGCCACAAGTAAATAAAAACAAACATCGCCACGCTAGCTTTCGTACTGAGGAGCACATTAAAAATATTCCGGTTCTCTTTGCAAGCAAACAGTTGCACAGTTAAACTTTATTTTTGGCCACTTTCCGGACGGGAAATCATAATTTGCAAAGCATTTGAATAGGTATTCAATGTAGAGACAAATTAATCTGGATTCGTAGATTGCGCACATAACATCGTGTGATCCAATTCGGAAACGAATAGAAAGTTATTTGAGTCTACAATTGTAGGTCAACCTTATTCTGGCTAAGATCGTTTTTCAAAGAAAACAAAGTGCTAAAAGCAGGAAGGGTTAGGCTGGATAACTGCACAATGAAATTTCTAACAATACATTAGACCATGTAATGCCCATACGGCTCACGACATCCCTGCTGTTTAGGAGTAGTGGCATCTTGTTTCTCAGCATGAACTCTGAGTGTCTCGACCACCCTTTCATCGCAGTACTTGTATAATGTTCTCCAGAAAATCTTACGAAGAGCCCGGGAAAGGGTTATGTCGGTTATGAATGACTTAGAAAATCAGAGTGGAGTAATTTTTTGTTTCAATGTTCCAATTTTTTCTCACAAAATTTGAAAACACAGAAAGAGGATATACTTTCCCTTCCGGTTCACGTTAATGAAGTCTCTTGTCGTAGAAGAAGCACTGGATCCCAATGATCTCTTGATCAAACTGTAAAGAATAGGCCGGTTGAACTCAAAAATGATGATGCTCACTCATTACCAAACCTCGCTTAAAAAGAAAAAGAAAAGAACGCTTTATTCTTACTATACGGGCGCCTCAGACGTGCAGAAAAATCAAGACCTGGTAGATGCCATACCCCCGGAGGCTTACGATTGAGTGTTAAGGTGACACCGCGCCACCATTTGATAAATTTGTCTCAACCGACAGCACTGGGAACAGTTTCTCACGAAAGATCAAAATAATAGAAAATCGCCAATGTCGGATGCATAGTATTTTAACTTTTAGAAATATTAAACTGGTTATAAATATTAAAGATCAAAACTCAAGAATAAAGCTATTGATCCAATGTTATTCTCATGTTTGAGAAAAGCCAACTTAATTTGAAGTTATCTTCAGGCACGACTTCCCTCAAGACCACAGGATATGAGAAAAGCGATATATGATATTAAGGTATAAATTGAAGACTTTACATTGACTAGCGGTGTGTGCCGTACTGATGACGGGAACATGTGGGTGTGTCATTCTTAATGAAAATCAACACGAACGTTTTTCAATCCTTGTCAAGGCAAGAACGAAACAGTTACCTTACGTCTGGTGCGTCGTTCATTTGTAATTATTCACGAACCAGTACTGCGTACATTTCCCCATGTTAACGCACCTCATTTTGTTTGGTAATTGTTTGCAATTGATGGATTGGAATTTAAAATCTCTTTACTGCCGAGTAAAAGCATTCCATCACGAACGATCGACTGTTTTCATTGAAAATAAAGCCGGAAGGAAGAACCTATGTTCTATGATACTTTCCATCCTTTTCCAGTTCTTAAACTGAAATGGCCCAGAGGTAAATGTTGTCAGAGTTTGATTTGCGCCACAGGTGGCAAGTAGCTCTACAGCTCTTGAACATTGATTGCTCCACGGGGACTGTACCTTTTACCACTCTCTTTGATTGTGAAATCACAATCTAACTTTGGGATATTCTTCGCATCAACATATTTTCACTGAATTTTTCCTCCCAAGTCATCCTATTGTGTGGAGGCGCGGTGGCCTCATGGTTAGTGCGCTCGACTCGGGATCGAGTGGTCCGGGTTCGAGCCCCGGCCGGGACATTGTGTTGTGTTCTTAGGCAAGACACTTTACTCTCACAGTGCCTCTCTTCACCCAGGCATATAAATGGGTACCGGAAAATTTAATGCTGGGGGGTAGGTAACCCTGCGATGGACTGGCATCCCATCCAGGGGGGAGTAGAAATACTCCTAGTCGCTTCATGCTACAGAAACCGGAGTTAAGCACCTGCCTAATGGGCCACTAGGCTCGTAAACAGACTTTACTTACTTTACTTACATCCAATTACTCTATTCAAGACTGAATTCTGTCTTTCATTTCAGGAATAATAAAATGTACAGTTACAAATCAAACTAACTTGGGGCCGGCAAAAACGGTATCCATCTTTCCATTATTTTACCTTTGTGGCGAAGTGTATAACTGTGCTTGCTTTGTAAGATCGCTTCCATTTGTTCTTCTAACCTAACAATTTGTGCTTTGCTCTTTGCAATTTGCAACATTGCTCTTAGAATAAATAAGTAAATAAAAAATGAATGATTGAAAAGTGAATAAAGCTGTGAATAATTGTCTTGTCAATCAAAATAAATCACTTCTTGAAGCTCGAAACTCGCAGTACAATTTGAATATGAAAGTAGATTCGTTTGATAATTATATTGAGCTACATAAATTCTTTATTCTTGGTTTTCAACTTGAATTAACACCGCAATTGCGGTCAATCCCACAAATTGATGAAAAACTTGTGATTTCTAATATAAACCTGTCAGGAAATTTAACATCTTTATTTACAACTGAAATCCTTGAAAAGTCCATGGGTCAACGTTGTACAACTTATCATAGACAGCTCTTCAAGTGTTACTGTTCTTTTTTTGTCATTTTACCTATGAAAGTATGAAAACAACTGTTTGAAAGAACAATGAAACATTCCATCACGAACTTGTGTTTTCTGTAATAATCCGGAAGGAAGACCAAGCATGTACGTTCAAGTTTACACTCAATCAAAATCCATGCCTGAAAACGAAGAATCAGCTTTCAGTCAGTTCGAGACGATTAAAGAAGAATTTGAAAGTGTACAACAAACGATCGGGCTCTACCCCAAACTGCATCCGATGCATCACAGGAAAATCTCCCATATTTGTCACGCTTCTTCGAGAAATCAGTATCCTCGTAATGAGGATTTCCTTTGTTGATTTACACCCTTAACTCGAGCAGCTGTTATTTTCCCTTAAAAGGTAGGATAACTTTCGTTGTGCTCACAAAGTCGTCAAAACAAAAGTACTTTACCCTCTTTCTATCGTACTTCAACTTTTTTTTAGCCGAATGAAATGATACCTGAGCGAATGAAAAGAGAAACTAAAACTTCGCATTCAATAAAGGAGTATAATTGAAAATATAATAGTCGTATAGCAACAAAAGTTGACAATCAACGAAACAATCGGTTTAGGAATCATTATAAGATTAAATCAAGAGTTAGGATCTAGTTAGACCAACTGCAGAATGCCCCTCCTCTTGGTCAGAATGCCCCTCCTCTTGGTCAGAATGCCCCTCCTTTTGGTCAGAAGTTCTTTTGAGACTAATGACCAACCAGGCACTTTTAAATGCGCTCGTGCACGATACAAAACATGTCCTTTCATTCACAACGTTGATAAAATATCGGGACCTAAACGATCCATTAAGATCACCGATCACTTCACGTGCACCTCCGCTAACTTGCACTTATTGCAAAAAGATATACATCGGCGAAACAGGCAGAAGACTAGGTGACCGATTCCGAGAACACCTTCGAGACGTGGAAAGGAATGACAAGGACACATCGAAACCAGTCGCTAGACATTTTAATTTACCTAATCATTCTAAGCAACATATGGCAATCTGCGGTCTTTCCTTACACTTAGGTAGCACGGAAAGCCGTAAAAATCTTGAACAAAAGCTCATCTTTCAAACCGGCAGTCTAAATCCCACAGGGATCAACGAACGCTTTTCATTCCACTAATTTATTCTTGTTTTTCTCGTTGCCATGTTCCCACCAATAACGTAGCTCCATTTTCTGCCTTTAAAAGCACACACAACCCACAATTCCTCTATTCGCTCCGACGAAGGGCTAACGCTCGAAACGTCAGCTTTTGTAATCGTTACGGTGGCCAATTTACCATTTCAACTTTGTTGATATATCCAAATTAAGAG